GGGGTCAGATCAGGCGCAATTCCCACACTGTGAGAACGACTCATTTCTACCGGAGGATATAGATGAATGGTTTCAGTCAACGAGTCGGTCCATCTGGAGCCAATTGGCCCCTTACTCCAACATCTTGTCTCCATGATCTCTGCCCCTTCAATATTCACTATCATGCTGTTCGGATATTCCCTTCCAGTGAGTACTGCCCTTGGGTCAGGTACACTCATTCAATCAGCAGCCCTCTGTTGAGCGCCTTCTTTGTGTCATGGCCAAGGACATTGCGATTGCCAATATTTTAGTGCTTTTAAAATGTTCTTGATGTGATTCTCTCTTTGTTTAGCTTCACATTAACAGTGGAGTAAGTACAATAACTGGCTAATTTAACAGATAAGGAAGCCGAGACAGAGAGTTTATTATCTAACACATCACTTGGATTTTCAAGGGGTTGAGCCAGGGATTTGAACCCATGCTGGTTGATTCCAGAGTTTCCTCTTTTAACCGGTTTTTTCTCTACTACCTGAGAGAATATACAGTTGAAGATAGAATCTTGACAACAGGAGAGCATTGTAAAGCAGGTAGATACTGTGTCAATGCTTCGAAGGACGATGATAAAGAAAAAGGGAAGATCAACTAACAAATGGCGTCACTAGAAAAATACATGAAGTATATTCCAAAGAAAGTTTCCAGATGGTCACTGGAAGAGCAATCGAGGCAGTTGGAAGAAGAATGAATGTATGAAATTTGACAGATGGACCAAGTTGTGCCTCTTGTATTTGTTCCTTGTGATCATCTAGTACAAAAAGAACATGCCTTTTCTTTAAGCACTGCCTCAGGTGCAAGAGTATAATTGGGGGTGCTCTGTTCACGCATACACTTCTTTAATAAAGAAAAATAACATTTATGTAGAAAAGTGCTTAAAGTGCTATTGAACGGTTGAATTCCTCTAGAGTAAAAATTATTAAAGGCTCTTTAATACCATTTATTTCTGCTCTGTCGGTAGTACCTTGTTTTTCAAAAGTAGATACTATCATAGATTATATTTAATATTCTTTATCTGTTTACTGTAGAAAACTTGCATGTGGAATATTTTTGCATTTAAGGCAGGGAAAACAGTACATTGAGGAGCCCCCTTGGTACACTCATTAAACGGTTGTTGACGGAAAGGTTAGCAGTTCAAACTCACCAACTACCCTGCGGGAGAAAGATGAGGTAGTCTGCTTCTACAAAGATTGCAACCTTGGGAAGCCTATGGGATTGTTCTACTGGCCCCATGGGCTTGCTATGCATCACAATTGACTCCCTAGCATGGCTTGGTGTTAAAACTGTGTGTGTGTGGGAAGCACGCACTCCTTTATGCCAAGAAAGCTGGAAGGGCAGAAACTTCCGTCTTTTTCTTTTTTTTTTAAACTTGAGTCTTAAAGTGGTATCTACTTGCCCAAGGATACAGGACGCCCAAGGATACAGGACTGAAAAAGTGCAAACCTGGTAGAAAGTAACCCTACATCTCTTGACTATGACAGATGTTAATACATACTACATCCCTAAGCCATCTCTTATGGAAAACAGCCTCTACCTGGAGAAAGCGATGAAATCCCCTTATCTATGGGATTTTTTAGAAGCAATGACAGAAACTCTGTTGCATGGAATTTTACAATCTATACCATTCCTCACCCTCTTCACTCCTCAAGTGAAAGCTTAGACCAAGAGGGTAGCGTGGTCATCACATCTAGTGATACTGGTACTGTGTGTGCCTGGAAGTGATGTTCGACCCGGGAGCCTCTGTTGATGTCTATGAGATCACACGTTTTCTCACCTGCTGCGTATGATGTCAGATATACAAACGAGTACCTCCACATTCAGTAGCTCTAGTCTCATATCCCTCAGTTCCTTCACGTTATCTCTGTCGTTCTGAACCCTGACTGCCCTGGCATAGGAGGCCCCAACAGGCAGGCAGGAGGGAAACTGACTGTTCCCTGCGCTGGATGGGGAGTGCTTCAGGACACAGGCCAGCTTTTTCATCTGTGCCGCTTCATGGCAACAATGGTCCATCACAGATCCCCTTAGCCAGATCCATCTTAACTGAACACAGGCGCTCTGAAAGTATCTGAGACTGTTTCACGGTCTGTCTCAAAAACCTCATGTTGGAGGGCCACTTTGTCTCTTGAATTTATGTTGTAAACAGGGATGGTATGATATTTTTTGCCTGTCCTAAAACTCTTGGTCCAGCTGTGTTACAGTTTGGGGAAACCAAGTTACTGTAGATTATAACTGATCTAATCAGTGGATCTGATAAAGTTCATTCCAGGGTAGAGCAGAAACTTAGGGAAATGCTTAGCCTCCAGTCTGGGGAGAAACTCGTTGTCCTTTTTAAACGTAGGGGCTCCTGGTGTTCTGTGTTTTCAGGTGGGTGCAGGGGGTCCTGGGGGCAGAGGGGATCCCATGGATTTTGAGGAGGACAGGACAAATACCTGCTCACACTTCCGTTTTATCACACCTGGGAGGAGTCAGGGACGTCCATGGTCAAGTTTATGAGACTGCAGACTTTTGATCCTTCCCTGTGCTTCTTTCTTACCCTGGCGGGAAAGAGTCTGACTTGGAGAGTAAGGAGGTGCTTTGAATTTGTCTTCAAGGGTTGGGCTGGGACCGTGAAGGTTGAAAAGCAGAAAACTGGCTTCCCGTTCCGCAGTTAGGCTTTGGGTGGGGAAGAAGTCTCGGGGGTGGGGGCGTGGGGGTGAATGGATGCCTGGTGGCTAGAGGAGGAGAAGGAAGCGGACCGAATTCCCACAACAGGGGGGCGGGGCACTTGGAGACTGGTGAGGGATCTTCGTGAGGGTTTCTTCTGGGGGACTAGCGAAGTCCCAGGTCAGCCGGACGAGACGGATCCGTTTTCTTCTCCACACAGAACGTGAAGGCTGTGTCTGAGACGCCTGCCGTGCCACCCGTTTCAGAAGATGAAGATGATGATGATGACGCTGCCCCTCCCCCTGTGATTGCTCCACGCCCAGAGCATACAAAATCCGTGAGTGTTTGGGAAACCCGACGGGCATGTGATTTGTGCCGGACGTGGGGCTTAATGAGCAGTTGTTGGGGGCTGAACGCTCTGGGTAGAGGTCCTTGGGTTTTAGAACTAATGAAATAGCTCCAGATCCCTTAACTGGAAGATGCTTTCTGTGTGATGAAAGACAGAGGCGCTGTATTTATGTGTCACCGCTCTAAAGATAGTCCCAGAGTGTCCCAGGCAGTTCATGGGTATACCAACCCAGCCCTCGTTTGCTTAGCTGGCTCTCCACAGATCGGATAGGAAGATGTGCTGAACTGATGCTCCTTAGTGCCTGGGAAGCAACCAATTACCCACTGCCTGCAGATCTTCTCTTCTCGGTTACGTGTGCTAGCGCATCACCGAAGAGACTGAGAGACCCAGGAGAATTTTGAAGACCCTAGTGCTGTCAGTATGCTGGCCATCAGCAGTGCATGTTGTGCTGGATGTTGGCCATGATGTTCATTTAACTTCCTCTGAAGTTCCTGCATCTCAGAACAGCCACAGCCCGTCTGCCCTTCTGGTGGACTTAAAAAAAAGTATTCTGACCAGAACGCCATAGGAACAGAAGGAACCACCCAGGGCTCACGCTCTCTGATAACGCACAAAAGGTTGCACTGAGCATTGAGGGTGGGAGTTGGGTGGCCAACTTGTGGGAGAGGCTGTGGAGGAAGTTCAAGAGGACCTCTTAGGCTGAGCATTTTTTAACGGCGTCTGTGGTCTCACTGTTTCTTTCGGTCACCAAGTCGCCTTAAGGAAAGTGGCCTTCAAAACCGCAGTGTGGCCAAACCAGCTCACATTCCTGTGGACCCTTTTGGTTCCCAAGAATGTTCACTTAAAAAATTCTTTCCTCCTAAGCCATGGACGTCTCAAAAGCAGAGGAAATGCACATAAACTCTGCATTATAGTGTTTGACATAGTCCTTGGCAGGTTTCAAAATCCAATAAATGCCGAACAAACTAATGATCAAATTTGATTGTCATAGCATTCCTTTCTAAGAAAGCCCTGCCAATTTTATAAACAAACACACACGGTTTTGACATATAATTCACATACTCTGCAATTCATTGGCTTACATATGTTAACAAGGGTTGTGCAAGCATTGCTAATTCTTATAGCAAGACTGGAAAGCTGAGATTTCGAGAGCTAAACGGTTCTAGCCAAAGATATTCCTCTCAGAGCCAGGATTTGAAAGCAGGTGACAGAACCCAGTAGCTGGTGCTTTTCTGCACAGCACCAAGGTCTTTTTGTGTGCAGACCTGCGCGGGGAGCCAGAGAAAGGACAGAATCACAGGGAAGGAAAAGGCAAGGTTTCCCCATGCAGGACTCATGTCAGGAGGCACAGAGGCGAGCGAGGGCATGCAAGAGCAGGTGCAGGTGTTCATGGGCATACGAAAACAAAGCAAGGCATTGTTTTTTCCAGTCGTCAGGAAAGAAGCCATGGTCTCTGATCTCTGAGTCTCGACTTCCTGCTGCTCCCACTACAGAGAGCGTTTCTCTCCCAGTCCCACCTTGCCCATCCTTGAAGATCCCACTGAAGCACCTCCTGTATTTATTCATCACTTCATCGAACACTCACCTGAATGTTTGCTTTGTGTTAGCTACATGTTTAGGTGCAGGGCCTCCGAGATTCATGACCTACGTACCCTGCCTTCATAGAGGGTCTGGACCAGCCAATAGATAATTGATATATGTAGGATAATAAATCTGTAAGTGCCCTGAAGCAGCTCTTGGGGGTGAGAGATATAACATGTGATCATTTCTTCTGAAACTATAATGCACAGCGTGCTCATTTCTCACGTGTGGCCCCTTCTGCTTTGTAGTTAACGTTCTCGCCTCCTTCGAGAATGAAAGGTGGATTTTATGTCAGAGCACGTTCTTGCCTGTGATGGAGAGCGCATGCATCTGCCCTTAGTGTGTTAATACCTGAACTAAATACAAAGCAGGAAGGGTCGTTCAAGAGAAAACAAACAAAACAAAGACGGGGGCAACATTTTGTATCAGTCAATGCTTGTTAAGTAAATAAATGAAAGAAAATATTAACTAAACGTACATGCTTATTAATACGTGCCAGGCATGATTGTAGTATTGCACACATATCAACTAGCTATTCCCACAACAACCCTACGAACGAGGCATCATCCTTACCGTTGTACGGATGAGGAAACAGACAAAGCAAGCTCAGAGACGTGAAGTGATACAGGCGGGAAGCGTTGGGATGAAGCCCAGGCAGTCCGTCTCCAGAGTATTAGTCACCACCCCTTCGATCCATGGAAGAAGAACAGGAGACAGTCTTGACTGCGTGGGTTTGGGATGTAAAGGGGGCGTAACTTAGTAGACTATAAGGTAAGTATGATATTAGCAGTGCAAGGTGTAAGACACTCATTTCAGCTTAGGAAAACCTAGCATTTTGCTGGTGAAAGGGCTTCCCATGAAAGGATAGAATCTTCCTTAAACCAATTCTGTTGGGAATGTCAGATTCTCATGGAATCCAGACTCTGGAATCAAGAAGCCATATGGCACCCCACCCCACCGAAATGCTAATGACCCTGCGGAATCTTTAAACCTTGAACCCAAACTAGTCCCTGAAGTCACCTTTGAACCCAGTAATGGTTGAGTTAGAATAGGGAAGAATGTGTTCCTTGAAGCGTTGCGCACACACGTTTAGAGGATTGCCTGTAGGCGATCACATTGACGGCAGCAAGCTGCAGACGGACGAGAGGCTGGGGCTGGGGCCGAGAGTCTGGGCTCACTACGGTGCCCGAGTTTGGCAACTTTGCTGAGAAAGGCACCACGATGTGAGGGATGTAACCAAGGCCCTGGATTGGACACGTAGACATGTCCTGTTGTGTATATTGTCATGAGATAGAAATACTGTATATATGCGTGTATAAGCCAAGTTTTCCAGCACATTTTTAATGCAGTTTTTGTGGTAAAATTAGGTGCCTCCGCTGATATTTGGGTCAGCTTATACTCGAGTATATACAGTACCTGAATCAAAAGAATGAACACACACACACACACACACACACACACACACACACTTCTTTTGAGAATGGTCTTGCCTGTACTGAGTACACACACACATGCACACACTTTTGTTGAGAATGGTCTCGCCTGTACTGAATATCTTCAGTAATGAGGCTCTCACTAACACTGCTGCATACAGCAAGGTAGGCCACAGTGAACCCAGAGAAAATGGGCCCCGAGTTTCTTGGGGCACGTTCTGTGGCGGTTCTAACCTGACAGCTAAGAGCGCTTCCCTAACTTTTCCGGCATCACCAAAGGCTGACCGTACCGTACCGTGTTCTCACACTGCTACAGGTATACACACGGTCCGTGATTGACCCCATCCCTGTCACTCCAACTCGGGATGCGGCCACATCTCCCATCTCACCCACTGAGAACACCACCACTCCGCCGGAGGCGCTGACCCGGAACACCGAGAAGCAGAAGAAGAAGCCCAAGATGTCTGACGAGGAGATCTTGGAGAAATTACGTGAGCACTTTGAAGCTTTCTGAAGCCTCTTAAGGGCCGTGATTCGGCGAGCAGAGAGATGGCGTTCCAGTGCCATGAAGAGGCTGGCCCGAGACTTTGGCCAGGGGGCTGGCTACCCGCAGGTGGCGCTGTAGCCAGACTGTGCTTCTGCTCCCCCTCCCCTTGTGCCACCTACTGCTCGCCCTCCCAACCCTCGTTGGGTGCCCTTAGGTCGTGAACGTGATGAATGAGCGAGTAGATGACGCACGTTGGGGCTCAGGCGCAGGTTATTGGAATGAGAACCGGTCTTTCTCTAGTGAATGGCCTGGAGCTGCCTGTTGAGAAAGACTGTGTCCTTGTGTCTCCCTGATGGGAGCGTGTGGGGAGACTGATTGTTGACTTGCACCTTCGACCTCTAGGCACAGACAGGTCTGCCATGTTGGCTGTAGGTCAAGAGGGAGGGGAAACCAACATTTTTGTGAGCTTGTATGCTATCCACTGCCAAGGAAGGCAGTTTCTTGATTGTGTGTGTGTGCGTGTGTTTTCCCTTCTCCCCTGAATTCTGTGAAGACAGACGTTGTAATCTTTACTTTTGCCTTGAAGGTAGCTGAGGCTCAAAGAGGCAACATACCCTGCCCCAAATGACAAAGCTGGTGAACGGGTGAGGCTGGGCAAGCCTGAGCCCTGTAATTGGAGCACGCTGCCCCGTGCTGTCGGGGGGAACTTCGCTTTCACTTGCTTTAGCAGCCAGAAAAGGGTGGGGGGGCAGTGCATCGTCAGGGTAACTCGTTTCTGCGGTTCCATAAACTGTAGAGGAGTTCAGGTGGGAAGAGGAACTGGGTTTCGTCTGTGGGCTTGGAGAAGGCCCTGGACAAGGTCTTTGGTTCGTTCTTTGCGCCAGCCGTTTTCCAAAGAGGATTTAAGGCGGCTGGCTTGACCGTTTGCAAACTGGCGTGGCTTTCTCAAGTTGAAGTTTCTGGTCATCTAGTTTAGTAGCTTTCAATTTCTTTTTGAAGCTTACATGACTTTCATTTGTTTTTCTATTTTTTAAAAATGGCCCTTCCCCCAAGTCCCTTATTGAGTGATTAAGTAAAGAGGTCCTTTGCTTGGCCCTTTACTTATCTCTGTTGACTTGGGTCAGGTGCTCTTGTTGGCGTAGTGAGATACACATTGAGCCTCCAACCGCAAGGTCAGGGGTTTGAACCCACCAGCCACATTAGAGGAGACAGATGAGGCTGCCTGCTCCTGTAAAGGTTTAAAAGTCTCTAACGTCCAAAGGAGTAATTTCCTCTGCCCTATAGGGTCATTATGAGTTGGATTTGACTTGGTGGCAGTGAATTTGGTTTTTGGTTTGTTTGACCTGTGAATAATCACTTTCCTGCCACCAAATTTCCCTCCTCCCTCCAATCCCCTTGCGCTGCCTCCCCTTTGCCACACACACACACACACACACACACACACACTCTCTCTCTCTCTCTCTGACTTCAGCACATTGAATTATGGAAAGCAGACCTGCCTGGAAGACTTGAA